ATTCAACCTCTGCTTTTGTTCTGGTGACCATTATCACTGAAAGTTACATAGTTACATAGTATTTGAGGTTGAATAAAGACATAAGTCCATCCAGTCCAACCTATTGCGTGTGTGCATTTATGTTTGAGCAAGTGTGTGCGTGTGTATGAGTCCATGTGTGATCTTGTTCTTAGGCGTACCTGTACCCCTGTATGTTATGCTCTTTCGAGGAACTCGTCCAGGAGTTTCTTGAATGATTCCACACTCTTAGCTGAAATCACTTCCTGTGGCAGCGAGTTCCACACCCTAACCGCTCTAACTGTCAAGAACCCCTCGCGCCCTGTATGTTGAAATTTTTTTTCCACCAATTTTTGGTGGTGCCCTCTGGTCTTTGTTACGGAGCTGACCGTAAACAGTTTGTTACTAAGGTTGCTGTCACCATTGCACAGTGTATGCCCCCCCTTAATCTCCTAACCTCCAGCGAGAACATATTTAATTTTAACAACCTTGTTTCATAGTTCAGGTCCTCGAACCCCTTAATGAGTTTGGTTGCCCTCCTCTGTACTTTTTCCAGCTCAAGGACATCCTTCCTGAGTATCGGTGACCAAAACTGGACCGCATACTCCAGATGTGGCCGAACCAGTGATCTGTAAAGTGGCAAAATTATAGATTTGTCCCTGCAATACATTCCCTTTTAATGGTAAAAAGGGTAAATCCAAAATGTCGGGTTGTAATGAGAACAGGAATAGATGGGGATCTTCCAATGGGGACACTAGTTCTGGTGACCACCAGGGACTTCCCTCTCTTGGGAGGGATTTCCTATTGTGGCTATCGGACAGGAAGTGAAGGGAAATCTCCCCAATAGGACACAGATCGCAAAAAAAAAAAAAAGCTGATGGACTATAACCATCCCTTACTCTATCCAAAACAAAATAAAGGGTTTTGGCTTTAGTTCTATTGAAGGAGGACCTGGCAAAATGATCCTTTAAACAGTGCGAGGTGAGTCAGTTGTGAATGATTCAGCACTGCCAGTAAGCATTCTGAAACTGTTGTTTGGGTTAGGTCCACTTTTTGTTCATTGCCCAGCACTGTGAGGCTACCATTTTTGGTGGCAGTGCAGGCTATCACTGTTCCTTGACCCCGTCCCCGAACGACACCATCAATGTAATCAGAAGCAAGAGTGGACAGAATATGCCTTTGGTGATGCCAAAGTCTTGAGTTGGGTCTACGGTGCAGGCTATCACTGAGCAAATCTTCCTGTTCCTTGACCCCATCCCCTAATGACACCATCAATGTAATCAGAAGCAAGAGTGGACAGAATATGCCTTTGGGAAAGCCAAAGTCTTGAGTTGGGTCTATGACCGAGATAAGACCAGACCAAAGGTTCTCAGATTTGTTTGTTGGACAAGCCCAAGTGCCCCGCTAACAGCCTCCCCCCCCCCCCCCCCCCGCCAGTGCCTTGGCACCACCATCCCAGTTTGAGAACCACTAGACTGGACAGATCAGACCTTTGTCTGCTCTAGAGCGTGGACTAAACCACTCCAACATCTACCTTTTCTGACCATCGCTGACTTTTGATTCTTCTTGCAACAGAACACCCTTCCAAAGGAAAGTGGACACATTCTGGAGATGTCCGGTGTGCTCCTGACAAGCCGCCACATTCCTCTTAGGGAAGCGAGGTTTCCGCTTGACCACTCGCCCGTTTTTGCACAGAGCCTTTCTAATGGTGGAGTCATGAACAACAACCTGAGCCGAGGCAAGAGAGGCCTGCAGTTCCCTGGATGTCGTCGACGGGTTCTTCTTGACCTCACTAATGATGATCCTTCTGGCCTGCGGAGATATCTTGGCCGGGCGCCCACTCCTGGGGAGATTCACCACCGTTCCAAACTTCTTCCACTTGGTGAGAATGGCTCTGACCGTAGTCCGATTGAGGCCCAGGGCCTTGGAGATGGTGGTGTATCCCTGTCCAGATTGATAGGCCTCAGTCACCTTTTTCCGAAGGTCTGCGGAAATTTCATTGGAGTGTGGCATGCCTCTGAGAAGCTTTGCTGACCTGGTAAGGGTTTACACAGACAAAGATTAGGGTGGGCAGGGTTGGCACAAACCCAACACGCTCACATTGACCCCCATGCAACCCCACCCAAACCACCACTTCAGAAGGGACTAAAGCAATCAAAAAGTCCTCACTCCAATGGAAAACCGCGGCTTTTATGGAGTAGGTCTTGGAACCCAACAGACAGTAGCACCAAATAAATTCTAGAGACCTCAAGCCTTTAGATTTTTCTTTATAAGGTAAAGATAATCTGCCATCAACTATCAGAAGCAATGAAGAAAAGTTTGCACATGGCGGTTGCAGATCCAGTACAAATCTTCTTTATTCAATAAAGGCATAAAAACTGACATGGCAACCCTGCTAACGCGTTTCAGCCAAAGCTTTTATTAAGGCCTCTTTGGCTGAAACGTGTTAGCAGGAATGATATGTCTCCCTGGGCTCTGCCATAGATTGTACTAGAGACATCAGACTGTCTGTTTCCTGTGCTCTGCCATAGACTGTACTGGGGACATCAGAGTGTCAGCTCCTGGGCTCAGCCATAGACTGTACTGGGGACATCAGAGTATCAGCTCCTGTTCTCAGCCATAGACTGTACTGAGCACATCAGAGTATCAGCTCCTGAGCTCAGCCATAGACTGTCCTGGGGACATCAGAATGTCAGCTCCTGGGCTCAGCCACTGTATGGGCGGTCCTAAAGCACGAGCAAACACTCACCTCGCTTTCAGGTCACACTGCCAAGGTGGGAGGGACTTCTGCTGAAGGCACGATCACGTGACCGGGCACACTTGTGGGCGGGGCACTGTCTGCGCCGTGGATATTTGCCAACCAAACAAAGAGAAGAAAATGGCGTGCGGCCTCCTCATATTTCCGGGAATAAGCTTTACTTCCGGGTTACAAGTTTGTTTACCTTCCGGGGGGCAGTGAAGGAGCCGGGTGAGAGGTGGCAAGTGACATGTAACACGGAGCACCGACTACAGACAGTGTGAGAGAGACAGAAGACATTTATGACAGCTCCAGGCCTCTCTTCCTGATGTCTTGTCACAGCTCAGTGTTATCTGCAGCAATTACATGAGATATGTGTTAGAATACTGGAGCAGAACTTCCATTATTTATCTTCCCTTCATAATATCTGGCGTAGTTATATATATCCAGATATATATATATATATATATATATA